GGGGTGGGGGTGAGGGGGGGAGCAGAGGAGATGTCAACATAGCTCTTGCAACTAGTTCTAGCAAGTCAGAGCCAGGCAGATACCAGTTTAGTCATTCTTTACTTCAAGCAACATCATCAACTCTCTCTCTTTTAGGAGTAACCTCTGAAGTGCAACCTGCAGAAATCAATAAGGCTTATGTGGCACTTGGATGATTTAATACAGTGACCACGCTTGCAGTAATTTTGATGTGTCTGCAGGTGTGCTGCCCAGCTAGAGTTAGAGTTTTCAGTAAGAAATGTGGCCTTGTGAATAAATCTTTTGCAATCCTTGGAGAGGAGCCAAATTCACTTAACTGGATGCTCTATGCTTTAATGTTATTCCACACAAACAGTATAGACAGTGCCTACCTGCTTGAGGTTGAAATGGGAGTGGGATTAAGCGTGTGGATGGAAATATGGGGCTGCTCAGAGCTGTGAGTTTCATTTGACCCGATATGCTGGAAGATGGCTGCCACAGTGTGGTATATAGCTGCTTCATGTGTTTGTTTTCTGGGACTGTTTCTAGGCAACTGACAGAAATATTGGAAAATCATATTGAAGAATATAAATTAAAAGCATATTTTGGACTCATAAACCCCAGTAGCTGTACTGGAGAGTAGAGTTTAAGACTTATACTCACCTGATCAGAGGACAAAAACATTCCAGGTGACCTGTGGCACAGACCTATGATTGGAGAAGCGAAGTTCACAACACATATATAGCAGCAACTTTCTATTCCTCAGCTGGCTGTATATCAGTCATAGCCATAAATTGCAGCAGTTTGAAGGCTGCTCTAAATTATAATCTGCAGCAAGCTCACACAAGGTTTTCCAGAGTAAAAGGAAACACTGTTCACATGTCTTTCCTGACCTTACTTCCATGCTAGACATCATGGATGCTGAAGGAGGCACAGTTCAGAGCTTCTGACACAAAGGCCCATCTTAATGTTGAGACAGCCTCTTGCTGTATGATGTCTGATGGCTGCTTTGCAACAATAAGAGCAACATGAAAAGTTGTAAACATTCATTGTAAAAATTCTTTTTGTCCTGTCCAAAGGAATGAATACAGGGTAGGAATTTGACATCTCAGAAAATGTTGAATGACATGCTCGCTCAGAATGGAAGGGATGAGATGGCACTCTAGCAAGCAACGTATTTAAAACTGAATGCTTTTTATTGCACACTCAGATATTTGCTCCAAAATGTCCAACCTTCTTTAAAAGTCTGTGTTTTTTCTGCTGGTTGAGATTTTCTGTTAGCTGTGTGGACTGTGACTACAACCTCATTAAGAAGCTTTGATTTCAGTGACCATACTTTAACACTTCTAATATACTTCTGCAGAACTCTAGCTCCTGCTCTAGCTTCCAGGACCAGAAAATTGCTAGTATGTTTGACCTCTCAGCCGAATACCGTCAACAGCACTTTCTGACCGGATTACTTTTCACTGAATTGGCAGCAGCGCTGGACGCAGACAGTGAGGGGTGGGTATCCTAATTTGCAGATTTTAGAATGAGTTCGGGTCATACTACTACACTTGGCAAGGTCTTAGTTTGATCCCAAGGCAGTCCTGTTTTCCCCACTCTTTCAGTGAGTCGCTCTGTAACAGCAATAACTGAGTCATTGATCTGCAGTATCCTGGTCCCGGTGAATAAAAATACACCATTTCTTGTGGTAGTGGCTAAATGTACAAATAGAGAACACAACTTAAAATTTCGGTTGCTTTTCTCTCTAAAACACCTCTGCCTTTCTCTGAGCTTAAGAGTTTAGCTAAACTTTGTTCAGAGTCTAATGCTTTTCTTTAAGAACCTGTCTTCACCGTATTTAAATTTTATGGGAAGTTTAAAAGGCTTGGGTACTCTTTGATTGTGGTGAAGTGGCTTGGAGATGTAAGATAGCTGTATTTTGCAAGGAACTTGAGTCTCTGCTCAGAATAGAAGAGATTATCTAATGAGTATTGGTGTATTAAAGTGTTTTGTTCACCTCCACTCTGCTTCATAAATCTTTTATTGATAAATAATTTGTGCATGACCCATTAATGGAGCTCATGGATGGTTTTTGTGTTAATAGGATTAGCAAGGTGCAAAGAAAAGCTGTCAGTGCTATCCTTAGCCTGCTGAGTTCCCATGACCTAGACCCACGCTGCTCCAAAAAAGAAGTGAAGATTAAAATTGCAGCTCTTTACCTCCCTTTGGTTGGTATAATTTTGGATTCATTGCCTCAACTCCATGATTTTACAAGTAAGATCTTTTTCCCTTTGTATTTTTCAACTTCCTAGTGTGACTTGTCTAAACAATCTATCAAACATAAAAGAGATCATGCTAAGTGCAGAAATTCCTCACAGTCTAGTGAAGTTGAATATATCTTTACTTAGAAGTAAAGTCAACTTTTAAAGACAGGAAAAACACTGTTCTCACTTCATGAGCCAATGATAGACCAGAGATGTATCTGTAAGTACTCCTACCAATCTCTTAGTGTAAATATTATGATCCTGCAAATACAGCCTGCAAGATCCACAAGAAATACTGAGATGTAGATAGGTTTAACAGAAGGTATGGAAGAAAACAAGAGTGATAATGACATTGTGCTACATTACGATTAGAGAAATGGGATTGTATTCTTTCGGTCTTTTCTATTGCTCCTTAGTGCTATTAATACCAAAATAAGTACCGGATAGGGGTATTCATCACACATGAAATATATTTTGTCTGTTGTAACAATAAACTTTGCTCTACATTATCAAGCCTTTTAAAACAACATTATCCAAGCTGTTTCCTGGCATTTTGCTACATGTTGTTCATATGATACTGCTCAAAGTAGCTATTTCACATTTTTTGTAAGATCTTTACTAATTGGAAAACTACATTTCATTTCCATAAATAAAATAGATTCTAAAATCCTATTAAAAAAAAAAAAGTAAAAGCTTTGAAGAATACACTTTTGTCACTGGTTCTGAAAATATTTTGCATTTAGATGACTGGGCAAAAAATCTTAATACTATGAAAGTAGTATTTATAACTTTCAGTCTAATAAAATGGAAGCAGTATTATACATTGGCAGATCAAATCTCACCCCATTCTTCTAATCTAAGTATTATCCTTATACTGCAGATGAAAAGGAGACATGAGGAAGCCAAATTGTACCAGTATGGCTAGTTTTTAGTGTGTCTTTCTCTTTGAGTATGTCACAAGAAGCAGATCTTGTTCTGAACGCACTGGGACTGGCTGGTCACCAAGCTTCTCTGAAAAACAGGACTTGCAAAACACAAAATGGGCACTCAGAATCAGAGGAAATTTTTACAAAACTTAGGTATTACGAAACTTCATTTGCAGAAAGCAATGTCAAGAACTAGCAGGGAACAGAAACAGCTAGATGCCTGAAATGAAACCTGCTCTTTAACCAGCAGGGAATACTGTCTGTCAGCTGTTAGCAGACACATACTTTGTTGAGTATCACCCATCCCATGCATGGCTTTTGTGTTGATCCTCTTGCCTGAAATGGACTGAAATTGGATGGTTCCGAGTCTTACAAAGTGCTGACTTAGCTTTGAAATTCAGAGACAGCCTCACGTTTGCTACTGCCTTTGCTTTTAATTTAGCCTCTCTGAACACCTGGAGCTTATTGGACACATCTCCTTTCCCTGTGTTTATTTGGACTACTGGGCAGCCTTTGCAGATGGCTGTAATCCGTCTTGCTAATGCTGCGCCTTCTTCATTGCTTGGTACCTCAGCCAGACCAACTGTCTCAAGGATGGAAGTGTCAATTGTTCTGTTAGGTTACAGCCTGATGGAAGACTGACATCTGAGCAGCAACAACTGGATTGACCCTGAACTTCCAATGGGGTATTTCAATTCTAGTTTCAGATGCCCGCACCGGAAAGGGACGCACAGGAAACCCAGAAGAAGAACAAGACTCTGCAGGTGCAATCAATCAAAACGTGGCCCTTGCCATTGCAGGGAATCAATTCAACCTTAGGAGCTCTGGAATATCTCTGGTGTCCCTGGTATGTCCAGTACTCTACCAGTCTCCTTTATTCTGTTTTCCTCTTTCTTTGTTTTCTGCTTTTATCCTTTCTTGTGACTAATAGTTACAGTCATGAGAAACTGCATTCTTGTTTCCTCCAGCCCCATAAAGAATGCCCCATATTCCCCTTGTCATCTCCTCCCCTTCTAGTGATTTACTTACTCTTTTACCATAAGCAGTTCCACTTTTTCTCCCACATTGCTATTTCCATTTCTGCACCCAACCTAGACTTAATTGTAGATCAGCAAATGCCACTATGAGTCCCCCACTACCTCCCAGTCCCAGTCTCACCTGAACCCATGGATCTAGGACTCAAGTGCCTTCCTTTTCTCCCTCTTTCTTTCTTCATGGATGTTTTTGTCTTCTATGCAAGTTGACTGACACAGCTGTGTGGCAAGAGGGGACCAAACAGTTATAGAATCTTTTTCTACATTATTCTGAGGAAACTAAAATACAAGTATCTAGCAAACAATGCTCTTGTGGTTCTTTCTGTCTTTCACATGCATACAGCTGGTCCTGTCACTGATTACACGTATAAACATTCAAAAAATACAATCAGTGTAAACTGGAAGAGGTTAAACTTACTGAAGTCCAGTTCTAAGATTTGATTTCACTGAAATTTTAAGCGATGTTACTTGACTTCAATGATTTCCCCTTTCTTTTTCTTCTTTCAACTGACATTTACTTTATCCTAGCCCTACAGACAGAGTGCCACATTGGGTCCTGATACTACTCGCAACCTTTTGATCTGTTTCCTCTGGATCATGAAAAATGCTGATCAGAATCTAATACAGAAATGGATTGCAGACCTTCCATCCATGCAGTTGAACAGGATTTTAGATCTTCTCTTCATTTGTGTCTCATGCTTTGAGTACAAGGTAAGTGAAACTTGGCCTGATTTTGTTGTCCTGTTTTTGTTTCTTTTTTTTTTTCCTTACCTTCTGGCTGTCTGGGGGAAATTTGTTACTGACAATTGTTAAATTAACTCTTGTCTAATCTATGCTACAAATGTGCAAATTAATTCAGATAAAATAGCTGACACTAGCCTTCAATCAAAATGCAGCCAAAACAGTTGAGGAAGTCCTATGAAGTTGGCTTAAATTGTTTTTTTATTTTCCTTTTCTTGGGGATTTGATGACTGGGTTTGGTGGGCAATATACTGACAGCTCCTATAATACTGGAGCTGTGCTCCTTAATACTCTACCCATTTCAGAGCAAGGTTGTGGTAGATTACCCCGTAGTTAAGAGCTGGGACATCAGGATTTCCCTCTCAGACAGGGTCTGTCTGAAATGGATCAAATCACCTCTGGATCAAATCACCTTCTCTCTGAACTTTAATTTATCTCTGTGTGGCACTGAGCTACATATTTATGTTTATTACCAGTACGTATACTGCCACATTCCTCATTTGCAACATTTAATTAGTGTTTATTTATTTATTTATTGACCACTTGGAGCGAGTCCAGAGGAGGGCCACGAAGATGATCAGAGGCCTGGAGCACCTCTCCTATGATGAAAGGCTGCAAGAGTTGGGCTTGTTCAGCCTGGAGAAGAGGAGGCTCCAAGGAGACCTCATTGCAGCTTTCCAGTATCTGAAGGGGGCCTACAAGGGTGCTAGGAGAGGACTTTTTACAAGAGCCTGTAGTGACAGGACAAGGGGTAATGGGTATAAATTGAAAACAGGGAGGTTTAGATTGGATATCAGGAAGGAATTCTTCACAGAGAGGGTGGTGAGGCACTGGAACAGGTTGCCCAGAGGTGTTGTGGATGCCCCATCCCTGGAAGTGTTCAAGGCCAGGCTGGATGTGGTTTTGAGCAACCTGGTCTAGTGGAAGGTGTCCCTGCCCATGGCAGGGGGGTTGGAACTAGATGTTCTTTAAGGTCCCTTCCAACCCAAACCATTCTATGATTCTATGATTAGTCTATAATATTCCTTGTATTCTGCCCTCTCTACAGATCTCGTCTGTTGTGTCTGGTTCTAGATACGTAATTTGGACTCAAGTCCAAAGATGGAGACATTGATGTTGATTGCTTTGATTTTACTTTCAGGGCAAGCAAAGCTCAGATAAAGTTAGCACCCAAGCGCTCCAGAAGTCACGAGATGTTAAGGCCCGATTAGAAGAGGCTTTGCTGAGAGGTGAAGGAGCCAGAGGAGAAATGATGAAGCGCTGCAGAATACCAGCTGGTACTTCATACCCCTCTTCCCCCACGTCTTTTAGGAGGATCTAAAGACACTGTAGACTCAAATTAGTTTGTTGGGTTTTATGCACACTCCCTATTTTCATCCCTGTATTTTTCACCCACAGTCCTTTCCCTTGCAGACCTTTCTTGGTTGCGCAGTGGAAAAAAATATCATTAGCTTTCAGCTATCCAAGGTGTCGCTAGGACTGAGCTCCTCTCAAGTGAAGAATATGAGGCCAACTAAGAAGTTTTAAGACATTCTGAGAAACTGCGTTAATGTCTAATCAACATTCAAGAAATGGTGTCAAAACTATCAGTTCATATTAAAATAGGCTTGTTTCATTTAATAAATGGAATAATTTGTGGTTTGGTCTTTGAAAGCATCTGTAAGCAAGCTAATGTTCTAAAAATGCTGGATAAAAAAATGGTAGGGTCCTGTCGTTTTACTAGAGCCCTGAGGCTGTGAAGTTGGCTGATTTTAGTTCTGACAGACTGCCACAGACATGTATCTCCTTCTGTCGGTGAGCTATTAGACTTCAGGTGTCCTCTTTTGCTTTAATCTCACTGATATATGTTGCACTGTTAGGGAATGACAGATCAGCGGGGCTAAATGAAAACCTGCGCTGGAGAAAGGAGCAGACTCACTGGCGACAGGCAAATGAGAGGCAAGATAAGTAAGTCATTTAATAAGGATATATTGCTTTTATTAGAACCAAGCTGTTTGGGGGTTTTTTAATGTTTTTTTTCTTTTTCCTGTGGTGTTTTATTACAAAATCAGCAGTTTCAGTCCTTTCCCTCTTCTGTCAAAGAGAAAGAAATAGAAAAAGTTTATGTAGCACAGGTATCCCAGCTGTTGCTATGACACAACAAAGAGATCACAAATACTTGAATGAGAAGTTCAGTAATCTACACATTTATTCCTTCTGATTAGCAGTGTGGTAAACACTAGTTATTGATACAAGTTGTATCAAATACTCCCCAGAGGCTCGCCGCAACATTTATTTTGGTGTTGCTATGGCTCCTTGCTGTAAATAGTACTGTGGTATAGGTTCTGCCACATCAAACCACCTGAGCTGGGTTTGACATGCTATGTTAAAATTGAGAAGGCTTATTGGTAGGCGTAGGGGAAGATGATTCTTTAGTGAATATTTCTGTTGTTGCAGGTTTTAAGTTATGATCTCTCAGTACATTTCACCTTACCAGCACTACATAGTAGTAGAGAAGTCAGTGTCTAGGTTTATGGGAAACTGTATTTTCAGGAATTATTTGTGTTACTAACAACATTTTCATATGTTATGTGCTAAGTTTCTGTAAACGTGGAACTTGCTGGGTTTCCCTAAAGGAGATGTGTCATTTGTCCATAGATACTTGCTTGAATTTTGCCTATCTTAATAGGCCACTCTGTGTCAGACAGAGACAGTGGTCTTTCAGCAGTCCAGCTGCTGTGAGCTCCCATCATATCCTTAAACATGTGTGACTATGAACTGAGAATACTCGCTTGTGCTGTGTGGAAACTATGTTGTTGTAGCTTAGCACTCATCCATGATTATTACGTTGTGCTGCTTTTAGTTGGGACAGAGTTAATTTTCTTCACAGTAGCTAGTATGAGGCTGTGTTTTGGACTTACACTGAGAAGAGTATTGATAACACCCATGTTTTTAGTTGTTTATAAGGAGTGTTTGTACCAAGTCAAAGAATTTTTCAGTTTCTAATACTTCACCTGTGTTCCCAGCTTTTTTGCTACATGAAGCTGGGAGGGGACACAGGTAGGACAGCTGAACTGAACTAGCCAAAGGGGTATTTCATTCCATAAAATGTCATGCTCGGTATATAAGCTGGGGTTGGGCCAGAGGAGATGGTGGTTGG